CCCCCCCAGCCCCGCGCGCCTCTCAGGCTCCGCGCCCCCAGGTATGCCGGAAGAGGGTGGACCGGAGCTGCCCGATGGTGGCGCTGTCGGTGCAGAGCACGGCTGAGAGCAGATACGGCTTCCGCTTCCTCCCCTGCCCGCCGGTCACCGACTGGAAAGCTCGGTTGTAGCGGGTGGAGGGCAGCGCGGGGGTGGGCACCAGGGACCGAGGGGCTGCGCTGGGAGAGAGTCGTGGGAGGCAGGCAGTGCCGGCTGCATAATTTATTGAACCAACATCGCCTACGAAGTAAACGGCATTTATGTGTACACCTGAGAGTCGAAGGGGATTCGCGTGGTCTGGGGGTATCCTGACCCAAGGGAAGGGAACTGGCTGTTCCATTCCTGCGTGGGTGAGGAACCGCACAAATCCACCGGGGATGGGAGGCCTGGCTGCACCCTGGCATCTGGAGGACCTGACAGAGAGCTGATAGGGCCGCGCTCCAGCCACCTCGGCCTGGGCCGTCAGGTGGAAGGAGTGGGCAGCTGGGCCAGTGCTGGGGACCTGGGCTCTCTTAGCCTGGGATCTTTCTTGTGCCTACGGCTGGCAATCCCAGCCCCTGACTCTCCTCCACCAAGAAGGGTCTCTCCTATGTCAAGCTCATTACACACCCCCCAAGATGCTCTGGGTTCCATGAAGCCAGAGTTCACATGGGGCTCCCATGACCATACTGGGGCTCCTTGGCCCGCAATCCAGGCCAGCTTGGCAGTGGGTGGAGGGGTCACACTAGGGGTGGGATTGGGCTGGGGTGATAGGGTTCAGGTGTGGCATGCACCGGAGGCGGGGGGATCTGGCTGCTGGATCTGGTGCTGGCTTTGGGCCTGGACATCTTTGGGCTCTAGGGCTTGGGCCTGAGGTCACCTCCAGGGCTCTCAGATCCGTCACTGTAGCCAATCCCTGCCCTAGGCCAGGTCCCTGCCCTAAGCCAGGCCCTAAGCTACATAGGGCTCTGAACCTCCGCCTCCGGAACTGCAGGCCTGTGGACCCCCAGTAACTGTTGCTAGAATCAGAAGGCATGGGCGTCTTGGGGGGAGAGGGGGTCAGGTTACAGCCCAAAGTCCTGGAAGGCTCTGGAGAACAAGGAAAAGACAGCTTGTCAGACAAGGGCCCCCACAGAGATCACTAGGTAGGGGGTCACCACAGGCGAGGTTGGCAGTGTACACTGTGTCCCCTGCGGCCCCTCCCCCAGCCCTTCACCACCCCCCAAGGCAGCATCCCTCCCTTCCATTTCCCGTGCTCCCCTGGGAAGCTGTGTCCCTGCAGCCCTGTGACTTCTGATAGTTGCTGGGCATGCAGAGGCCACAAAGCCTGGGCTCTGGCTTTGGGTCACTGGATCCCATCCCCAAGGTGGCCCCGGGCCAGGTCCTAAACCTCTGCTATAAAGTGAGCCCCTGGCACTCCCCCCACCCTGCTCAGGGCAGACTGGGCAGTATGGCCATGGTCACCCCATGCTGACCTGGACCTGGCCTGGAATGGGAGGCTCCAGTACCCTTTTCTTCCCCGAGACGCCACTGCCTGTCATCACTCCTCCACCTGTTCTCCCTCAACCCCCCCCCCCCCCCCCCCCGCCACCCGCCCAGTAGCTGACAGCCCTTGACTAGCCGGTCTCAGGGCCCACCCTCTCTAGCCCCTCCTCCCCCCCAGGCACCTGCCAGCACATGGAAGGCAGAGGGTTTGTCTCTCATGTCCCAGTTCCGTCCTGGCCCTTTCGGCTCCCCAACCCACAGGAAGGTTATTCGGCCAACCTTTAAGCCTGTGTACCTGCTGCCCCCTGCTCCCAAGGCCCTGTCCCAGACTTGCCCACTCAGTTCTACCAGTCAATTCAGACCCTTCTTTTAGGAAGCCTCCCTGGACCCTGCTGGCTGTGGGGTCTCTCTGCCTTGCAGTCCCTCCTGTGTTTGTTCCACTCGGCCGTGGCCACTCTGAAGCCAGCGTCCTGAGCCCAGCACAGGCCCTATGTGCAGGGTAAGGGCAGCACCCTCACTGCCATAGTCTGGCCTATCTGGTAGCCTCTCTCTCCATTGGCCTGTGCCCTGCTCCCTGCCCAGTGGGCCTGTCCTGGCCACTCGTTGCCACCCTGCCCTCTCTTTCAGTCTAGACTCCCTGCTCACACCCCCCTCTGTCCAGCTCCCGTGGCCTGATGATCCCATGGGCTCGGGGAGGAGGACTTTAGATCGGAATTCCTTAAGTGTAAGCGCCCCCCCCCCCAGGAGAGGACCTCCCTGTTGCAGCCCGTCTCAGAGTCCAGCTGAGGAAGGGGGCCCGAGCTGATGAAGGCAGTGTGTGGGGTCACTCTCAATACCTGGGGCCAGGCATAGGGGGCTGGAGGGAGTCTTGGGCCTGGACTTGTTCTCTTGCTCTTCAGGGCCTCTCCAAGGGCCCCAGGGGGCTGTGGCACCTTCTTGCTGGGACTCCAGGGACCTACCAGGGAGGGAGCTAGAGTGGGGGAGGGGGCTGCAGCCCTGCCCTTGGAGCCAATTCCAAATGAGTGTGCCCCTGGGATGATCCCCCAGCCTCAGGCTCCCGTGGCCAGCCCTCCCGCCAACCTGGGTACCCAGGCAGTCCCCAGTCATGCCTTCCCACCAAACAGGACATGTGGTGGTAGGTCTCGGTTGGGGTGAGGGGCACCCACCGCAGGCACAGCTCCCTGCAGGCTGGAAGCCTCGCCAAGGCCAGGGGGTCACTGCTGTCTGTAGAATCAGGCCCTGGGACGGAGGCAGCCAGGTCCTTCAGCCTGTGTGGGGGCAGCTGCTCCGGACCTGCCCAGGCCTAGGGGGAGAGAGGGCTGGTTTGGGGGCACAGCCTTCAAGGGGGCTGGGTGGGGAGTGCCCTGAAGGTAGGACTTATCTGTGGAGGGGGTGAGAGAGCTGGGGCCTCTGGCCAGCAGTGGCTGTGGGGCAGGGTACTCTCAGGCCAGGACACTGGTCCCCTGTGGTAGTCCTGGAGTCCTGACCCAGCTGGGGGTGGCAGGGCCTACCTGGCACTGGTGTCGACGCTCCCGCAGGCCTTTGGTGGGGTTCCCGCAGAGGACTCGGCCAGCACCTAAAGAAGCGTGTACCGCTAGGTCTGGTTTGGGGTTAAGGGGCTGCAGGGTCAGCTTGCTGCTGAGATGGCTTAGTTACCATGGGTGAGGTTGCTGGTGTCATCCTCTGGAGCTGGGTCCTTGGGAAGCAGGCTTTCAGGCAGAGGACCCCCAGCGACCAGTAGGGAGAGGGGCCATGGCCTGGGGGCCCATGGCTGGGTCTCAGTCAAGGAGAGCTCGGAGCTGAGTCTCTGAATGGGGGCTCCATGGGGATGATCTGCCCGAGGGTCAAAATCAGAGGTCACGGAAACCCACACCAGCTGGCCAGCCCAAAAGCCCCCCCTCCCCCAGAACTGCCCACAGACCAGGGACCCCTGCCACCCAACATCTGTGTGTCTGGAGGCCCATGCCCCAGCAGATGCTGCTCACAGGGAGGTTATCCTGGCCTGGGGGCAGGTGTGCAGGGCTCTGGGAACAAAAGATTCAGGCTGAGAAGGGTTAGATGTGGCTATCCATCCCTGAGAGGCCTAGGGGTGTGCTGGGGGTACAGAGCTCTCTTCCTGGGGATGGTAGGGGGTGGAAACCTCTTCTGGGGCTCAGTCAGTAAGGTCTCCAGGCTGGGTGGGACAGCCCTTGCTAGAAGGCCGGTGAGTGGCTGCCATACCCAGCCCAGGGAGCAGGCCATCCAAGACACTGCCCTCCTTGATGGCCTCCTTCACCATGAGCCAGTCCTGGTCCAGCTTCTGGGAGGCCGGTAGGCCTGTGTGTGTGGCTGGTACCTCATCCAGGACCTGCAGCTGGGGGATGAGCTTCCTCACCTCTGCCCGATAGTTGTAGCCCCGTGGCACCTGTAGGAGGGAGGGTGTGGCAGGCCTGGGTCCAGTGGGCCCTTCAGGCCAGCTCTGTCCTGTGGCTTTCTCCAGACCCTCTGTGGGGCAAGGCAGGGGATCTAAGGATTGGTGATGCTGGCCCCAGCCTGCCAGGGCTGGCCTGGGTCACTCTGGCCCAGCAGGGACTGTGGGGACCCTGGGCTCTCACCTGTATGTGATCTCACTCTCTGGGCTCACAGCCAGGGCCCAGTGGTGTCCTCTGGCCTGTGGGGCTGCCCTGAGCTCAGAGCTGCGGCCCAGCTGGGCAGCCCCTGTACACCGGTCCCACAGCACAGAGCCTAGCAGGGCAGGAGGCATGAGCCCCAGGTGTGCACGGGCAGTGCTGGGTGTGTGCAACTGTGGAGGGTGTGCATGGGCCCACGATGCATGAGTGCATTCCCACCTAGGGCATGCTCAGGCCTGCAGGGGACGGAGGGGGCTTCAGACTGGGCCTTTGTGTGTAAGATTCCATGTGCAGACTGAACAGACTTCACGCGGGTGATTATGGGTTGGGGGGGGCAGCGTGTGTGCACGTGGGCCTGTGGGGCCCTGTGGGGTCTGGTCTGGGCCCAGAAGGTCTCCAGCGATACAAGAGAATGAGCTCATGGTGAACAAGTCACAGGGTGCAGGGGGGCCGTGCCCTGGGGATGCTCCCGTGCTCAGGTGGGCAGAGAGGCCCCTGGGATTGTGGGGGGGGGCCACAAAGTACCTTGCCCTCCTGTGCATGGTGGGTGCCCACCACACGCACCTTGTTGGAAGGGCTGGGCCCTGGCCGCAGGCACACCAGGTTGCCCTCCAGGGTGAGTGTGGCCAGCCTCGGGCACAGGTGCAGATAGTGCACCTGCCCCAGGTCCTCCACGCTGTTGCCCTCCAGGTCTAGCACCTCCAGCTGCTCCAGCAGGCACAGCGGGCTCAGGTCTGAGACGTTGTTGTAGGAGACGTAGAGTTCCTGGGGTGGCAGGGGGCTCAGCCAGGGCTTGGCCTGGCAACCCTCTCCCTAGCCCAGGGCACCACAGACCCACCTTCAGGGCCGGGAAGGAGCCAATGCCATCCAAGTCAGTCAGGCCGCAGCGAGCCAGCCACAGCACCTGCAAGTGGCCCAGGGAAGTGCCCAGGTCTCTGTAGAGGGCAGGGTTGGCTGGTCAGCACTGTTCTGGGCTGGAGGGCCATGTCTGTATCCATGAAGGCCCTATGCCACACCTCGTGCCCATCCACCACCCACATCCGGCTCTCTCCAGGTGCCGGGGTGCCTGTGAACTGTGGCTTGTGTGTGGCAGCCTCCAGGCCGAGGAAGGGGCCCCAGAGTCCCCTGCCTCCCTGCATTCCCTCCTTGCTGCAGCCTCCTGGTCTCCAGCACGGGCAGAATCCACCTTCTCCTGCCCCTGGAGGGCCTGAGGCTGGCAGGGGGCGGGAGGGGCCGGCGGGGGCGGGTAGGCAGGAGTAGGGTGGTGGGGCCCACGCTGGACAGCTTGGCTGGGCCCCACCTACTGCCTGCTGCAATGGGGGTGGGCAAGCTGGCCCTCTCCCCAGTGGGGTCAGCCCGGGGGGCTTCTCCCTTCCTCTCTCTCTTTGGCCTTTCTTGGGGATGGCTTCCCCACATTATAGCCCCTCCCCCAGCCAGCTCTGCCTGCAAGACCTACTCCACCCCTGCCCAAGCCCTGGACGTGCCCCTGCCACCCTCCCTCTGCCTACCTCTTCCCTGCAGATGGGCAGGCCAGGCCTCTCTGGGCCCTGCCCCTGCCTGCGGCATCCCCTGACGGGGCCCGGGCCCAGTGTTCAGACCCTTTCAGTTGGCTTCTGGGATGGTTTGGATGGTATTTCTTTTGCATTTTCCCTGTGTTCCCTGTTCTCAAGTATGGAGCTCTGCCGCCGGTGTGTTGGTCCTCTGAGAACGACCCTTGTCTCTGGTCGTCTTGGTCCCCTTTAGCTGCTGTTGCCTTTCATTCTGCATTCCAGGAGATTTCCTCATTCCGACCTTGCCCCTGACATTTTTATGTCGGCTGTCCTACGTCTAATTCTGAAGTGCTCTTCATTGCTGATCCTTTTTCATGGCATGCTGTTCTTGTCTTGAAGATACGGAGAAGCCACATCTTCTGATCTCTCACAATATTAGTTGAAGAAGTTTGGAAGTTTTACTCCCCTCTCGGCATTGTCTGGTCTCCTCCGGGACCCTTTGTTTTGACCTTTTCCTTGTGCTGAGGGACCCTAATATTTCTAATTATACTACTAATAGCTTCTTGGGCATTCAAACTGGGAGCGAACGTGTGGAATCCTGCTTGGAAGAGCTGAGCCACTGGGGGCCCTGGCATAGGGGGCTTCCCCGCTGGGCACGAGGTGATAGTGGGGGCCAGTGGCTGGGGGTGGGGCGGACCCGTGCGTGACTCCCACGCTTGCACCTGCGGCTGCCTGTGGGGTGGGCTGCCGGGTCTCCCTGTGTTCTCCAAGTGCACCCTGCATTTTCGTGCCGAGGACTTGGCCCCTGCCCCTCCCCCTGCTCAGATGCACATACACTTGTCGTCTCCCTTCATCCACGTGACATAAGGATGACACCCTCAGGCACCTCTTCCAGTGCTCACGCTCCCTGCCGGATGTCTGACCGGCCCTTTCATCTGGACAGAGCCCCCTAACCTTTCGGTTACAGAGATGCCCCATGTCCCCAGCCTGTGGCCCTGAGTGGATTTTCCCATCATCTCGTAATTGGGCTGAAATGTGTGTCTAGTGACTTCTTCAAGAGGGGCTAGTTAAACTATTTGCCTTGGTCTCTAACTCATTCAGAAATGCTGGCTGGGCATGAAAGTCTCGGTTCGTGCCTTCATTCCACCGTGCTGTCTTCTGGCTTTGAGTGTCTGTGTGGGGAAGTCTGAGGAAGACTTCACTCGTCTTCTAGAGGGAGACGCGGTCTATTCCCTTGGCCGCCTCCAGATCTCATCTTTACGTCAGTAACTCTGTTAGGGTGTGCCTGGGTGTTGGCAGACCACTTTTGATTTTTTTCTTTCAGGCTGTAGTTGAAAGTCTTCTTTTATGTCTGAAGAGTTTTCTTTAATCTTTAAGCATTTGTTCTGTTCTATAGTTTCGGTTTCCTTCTGCAGCGATCGGTTATGCATGTGTCAGAACCTCCATCTGCCGCCCGCCTCACAGGCTTCTAGACTGCATTCACGCGCAGTGAACTGGGCTCGTGGTATCATTCCTGTCTCCTGTGCAATCTCTTGATTGGGTTTCCTGCAGTATTTCTTTCAAGTTTGTCTTCATTTCTGAGCTGGTGTTATTGTTTCATTCCATCTGTGTTCAGAGTCTGTGCAGGGGAGACTGGGTGCTATGTGCCCAGCTGAAAATGGGGAGTTCTATTTTATTGGGGAATAACTAGCAGTTTTTTTTTTTTTGCTTCATCTCAGATTAAATAGGAAAATTACCAGCTATTTAGAACTAATGACAACAAAGTATACAAAATTTGTGAACCCTGCCTCAAGGTGTACATAAAGAGAAATTTAGGGGCGCCTGGGTGGCTCAGTCGTTAAGCGTCTGCCTTCGGCTCAGGTCATGATCCCGGGGTCCTGGGATGGAGCCCCGAATCAGGCTCTCTGCTCGGTGGGAAGCCTGCTTCTCCCTCTCCCACTCCCCCTGCTCGTGTTCCCTCTCTCACTGTGTCTCTCTCTGTCAAATAAAATCTTTTTTTTTTTAAAGATTTTATTCATTTGACACAGAGAGAGAAAGCACAAGCAGGCAGAGTGGCAGGCAGAGAGAGAGGGAGAAGCAGGCTCTCCACTGAGCAGCGAGCCCGATGTGGGTCTCGACCCCAGGACCCGGGGATCATGACCCGAGCGGAAGGTAGCCGCTTAACTGGCTGAGCCACCCAGGCGCCCATCTGTCAAATAAAATCTTTAAAAAAAAAGAGAAATTCACATCCTTAAATACATTTATCAAAAAAAAAAAAAACTGAAAGGATTACAACAATTAAGCTGAGTATTTGGCTTAAGGAGCCAGTAAAAAAACAATAGCAAATTGCAAAAAGAACAAGAAGAGAAGACATAATAAAGATTAGGGTGAAAGCAGTAACAACCAGACACATTGTAGAGAACACTAGCAGAGCCCAGAGCCGATTCCTCAAAAAATTAATGGACAACCACCAGCAAGACTGATGAAGGGCAAGAAGGAGACTATGCAAATAAACACACACCATCTTAAAAGAGGAATAGTTGTAGCCGGAACAACAATTAAAAAAAATAGAAGACCACTATAAACAAAGTACATGCCAACATTTTTGGAACCCTAGATAAAGCCGGCACCTAAAGAAATAGAAAACTGGATGCTGATCCCCCCAGCCATGTAAGGCCTCGGATCCGGACTGGTTTTAGAAGTAAGTTCTAATTAGCCATCATGGAATAGACACTCTTGATCTTCCACAACTATTTCTCATACAGGAAGTTTCGAAATTAGAGCAGCTGAACAGAATAAGAGGCAGGAGAGGCAGCCTGGGAGTCAGGCCTTGACCCCGGAACCAGAGGAGCACAACACCAGGGGCTGAGGGGGGTCCCTCATGAACACGGGCATGAAAATGCCCAGCAAATAGGGTTTCAGTGTTCTGGTGCTTGTAACTCAGCATGATCGAGCAGAGTCCCGTGCACTGACCGCCTAAAGGTGAATTATCACTTTCTGACCATGTTGACAGGGCAGAGAGGCTCAGACACACACCCATTCAGATAAAAGACAGACCAAGAGTGCCCGCTGCTGTCTTGGTAATACCGAAAACCAGCTCCAGAAGGTAAGAGAAAGAAGCATGAGGGCTGGAAGTGAAAGACAACCCTCCTAACGTGCTACTAATACCATCATCAAAACGGAAACCCCAACGGAATTAACAAACTATTTGAATTTGAGTTTGGCAGTATTGCTAAGGCGAAAATAAAGACACAATATTGCCAGATACAAGACCCATGTATAAAACTGTGTTTCACTGATTTAAAGAATGTGTTCTAGGGGCGCCTGGGAGGCTCAGTCGTTAAGCGTCTGCCTTCGGCTCAGGTCATGATCCCGGAGTCCCAGGATCGAGTCCTGCATCGGGCTCCCTGCTCCGCAGGAAGCCTGCTTCTCCCTCTCCCACTTCCCCTGCTTGTGTTCCCTCTCTCGCTGTGTCTCTCTCTGTCAAGTAAATAAATAAAATCTTTAAAAATAAAGTAAAATAGGGGCGCCTGGGTGGCTCAGTTGGCTAAGCGACTGCCTTCGGTTCAGGTCATGATCCCGGAGTCCCAGGATCGAGTCCTGCATCGGGCTCCCTGCTCCGCAGGGAGTCTGCTTCTCCCTCTGACCCTCCCCTCTCTCATGCTTTCTGTCATTCTCTCGCTCTCTCTCAAAAGTAAATAAAATTTAAAAAAATAAAAATAAAAATAAAGTAAAATAAAATAAAAAATGTGTTCTAAATCAGCATAATGTTTCTCTACACTTGTAATAATCAGCCAGAAAATACAACAGGAAAAGGACCTCATTCATGATCATAAAAATACCATGAATGTGTGGGAATTACTTTCGTTCTGGTTTCAGGGAACCCTGGCTTCACAGGGGCCAGGGTCCTGCCCCGTTCCAAGTGGCAGTGGGGTAGCTGGGGGCCTGGTTAGCACGTGCCAATCCCAGCTCCGTCTTCTTCCCAGTGGCTGGCGTGGGTGGGCATATACACAGCGCAAGTCTGCCCCGAGAAGCGCAGGAAGAACGCCAGGAACCTGCTGTTCTCAGGAGACACAGGAGGGCACGCCCCTGTTACACATGAACCACATGCATGTGTCAGAGCCCTAACCCCAGCACCCCAGAATGTGACCCTGTCTAGAGCTACAGTTGTTGCAGATGTCATTCGTTAAGACAAGCTCACACTGGAGTGGGGGAGGGCACTATGCCGTCTGGTGTCCTTATGCAAAGGAGACCTATGGATGCGGACACGGGGGGAATGCCGCGTGAACATGAAGGCAGATTGGGCTGATGAGTCTACAAGCCAAGGAACACTGAAGCTTGCCAGCAAAGTCCAGCAGGAGGAGAGGGGAATGAAATGGGTTTCGCTCACAACCTCGGAAGGAGCCAGCGCTGTCCCCCTTGATCCTGACTTCTGGCCTCCACAACTGGGAAAGAATACATTTCTGCCACTCAGGCCACCCCGCTCATGGTGCTCTGCTCATCAGAAATCTAACACACTCCCTCAGTCCGCCTGTGTTAAGGATGCCTGTGCTTACAGAAGCCATCGGGTACTGGGAGGGGACATGCATGAGGATGGAGGGCCACACGCTGTAGGGAGCCTGGCTGAATGAACCTGACCCCGGGAGCCAACGCTGGGCTTCTCGTCGGTTCCACGGGAGACAGAGGTTCTTGTCTGTTCTGTTCACTGACACATCCTCAGTGTTTAGAACCGGGTTTGGCCCAGATACGCACTGTTGGACACAGGTTTCTCTGCCTTGAAGCTGAAATCTAACTGATAGCATTCTGATAACAAACTTTATAGGCAAGTGTAAAGACTCTATTAAAAATATAAAAACACGGGCGCCTGGGTGGCTCAGATGGTTAAGCGT